AATTGATAAAAGATTCAGATAAAAAATCCGCAAATCCGACGCTGAATTCCCACCACAAGTTCCACCAACGTGCTAATACTTTAAACGTTAATAATTGGAAAGTAACGTACAACCTGTGCTGCATATAGTACAAGTTTCAGTAGCATGATTCTCAGTAATTGCTGATTCTGCCTTTTAAACGCTCAACTACTCCCCGTACTGCATAAATACGAATCGTTCACCGGCATACTGATTGAACACTACCATATTCCAAATCTCAGCCGGAAAGTAGGTGTCGCTGCGATTGAATCAGATCACCGGAAAAAATGGCGGATGAAGTGAAGTTGTATGCTGTTGGAGGAAGTCCATTCGTTTGCAGAGTCAAAATTGCTTTGAATCTCAAGGGAATCGAGTACGAAAACTTCGAAGAAAATCTTAGCAACAAGAGTGCCGATCTTCTAAAGTACAATCCTGTTCATAAGAAGGTACCGGTGCTGGTGCACAACGGRAAGTCGATCTCGGAGTCTCTTGTGGTCATTGAGTACATCGATGATGTTTGGAAAGGTGTTCCGATTTTGCCACAGGATCCTTATGAGAAGGCTGTTGCTCGATTTTGGGCGAAATTCATTGATGATAAGGTATTGATCATTTCCTTCGTTTTCTTCTAATCCTGATAATATGTTACTTGTTTTTATGGTGGATGATATTCGGGTGGTTAAATCAGTTTCAATTATTAATCTGAATATCCAATCCGTTATGTCAGCCGATTAATCCCAAAACGACTATCGTATTTGAACTTCCGTGGCCATAAGGGGATTTTTATTTCTTCTTGGATTTGAACCTGGGACCTCGTAAAGTTCAAACCAATCAAACCCCACCCTTCTTGTTAAATCATTTTCAATTATTCGGTTCAGGTTAATTGGTTTTTACTTTTTTATTTAAATTAATTTAGCAATGACATTTTAACACCTCAAAGACCAAAATAGTAGACTGACCCAATAACTTTAGATCCAACTTAAAATCATGATGAAAGTTACTGGCAGCCCATAAGTTGTTACAGACATCATGGCTAACTCCTTAATTTTGGGCCGGATACGATTTCTTTTAACAAAACTAGAAGAGTACTCGCGCAATGCAGCGAAACACATCTCGATTTTATTGTTTTATTTTATTATTTGTCTGTCGATATTATAATATGGTTTTATGTGTTTTTAAGAAAGCAATAATGATTTTATTTTTGAATAAAATATAAATCTGAAGATATCATAAAAATTTGAAAAAAAATATATCAATGTTAATATCTAATCAACTGTTTAAAAGTTCTCATTTTTTAATGTAATTTCTTTAATTTATTTATTTTAATTATAATTTAATTTAAGTTTAATAACGAAATAATTTATTTTTNTTTAATTTATTTATTTTAATTATAATTTAATTTAAGTTTAATAACGAAATAATTTATTTTTTATTTAATAATATAACATTTTATAAAAATAATAATTAAGTATTCTGTTACAACTCAATGATTATCCTAATTATATTTTAGATTTTTTATATTTAAAACGAGATGTTTATCCTGTATTTGATTATGTTTATCTGCAGTTAGTTACACAATTCATATATGAAGCTTTAATAAGTTGTACTTATGTACAATCTACTTGTTTGTAATCTTGAGTAAGTAATATGCATTGATAAACAGTACTTTACGCATAAAAAATGGTTTTTAAGAGTTTTTGTCAAATGCTTTATAATATAGTATAGATATAGATAACCGGAACTGATTTTCATCATATGTTTTGTTCAGTGTGTTCCAGCAATATTCAAGGTTTTTGGCAGCAATGGAGACGAGCAGGCCATTGCAGAAGCTTGTGGGCACCTTCAAATCCTCGAAAACGAACTCGCCGTCAAAGGTAACAAGTTCTTCGGAGGCGACAGTATTAACCTCGTAGATATTGCCGCTGATTTCATAGCGTATTGGGTTGGAGTAATGGAAGAAGCAACTGAAATAAAGTTTTTCACGAATGATAAGTTTCCAAAATTAACCGAATGGGCCGATAACTTCGTCGAATGCCAAGTCGTTAAGGAAATATTACCTCCAAGACAAAACCTGGTTGCGTTTTTCAGGAAAATGTTCGGTAAAGCGTAATGATACGTAACGGTTATTAGCCGTTAATTTTAGCTTATAAGATCCCTTGATGTTGCAATAATAAGCGGTCTTTTGTGCTTATCGAAGTKCAAACCTCCGTATYGTCCGTCCRTCGATGTTGTAACGAGCAGCCGTTTGTGCTTGTGTTCTAATATTTGAATATGTTTACGTGTTATTGATTTATCGAGCTCAATGTCTAAAGTTTATCGTATGATATGGTGGTTTAAAACAATTACTAATGATGTCTGGTCCAGTCTCCTTAGCCTGACCATAAAGCCCACCCCGAATGTTGTCCGGGCTCGGCTTGCCTGGAACTTTCGCTTGTGGCAGGTGTCTCTCTTTTCTCCCCCCTTTTTTCTTCATTTCTTTCCCCTCGGGGAGTCTTGGTTCTTTTCTTGTGGATGTGGTTCGCCTCCACCCGAATGCTTAATTTTGTGCTTTTAACGTTTAGTGTTTTCTGTTGATAGGAGAGGCCTCCCCCTTTGTATCAAAAAAAGTTTATCGGACCATACGAAAGACGTTTTACATTTTACATTTTTAATTAAAGGTGTTAGATATAATAATCTAAAAAATCCGACTAGATCGGTCTCAAAAAAGAATTAGAGCGGATTAGATCGGTGGAGATGATGGGGAGCGGGTTGCTTTCAAATGTTGAAGGATGACGAAAATAGGTAAAAAGATTAAGACCAGATCGGTCTCGTACCAAACCATGATGTTATTAGGCCGATCCAAACCAGATGGTTGGTCCAGACGATCTTTAGATGAACCATTCTTTTTTAGGACTCGATAAATCCCAGATTAAATAAAAAATTTCTATCGGATTGGATTCAAACCAACTCAATTTTTAATTTTTTATTGGAAATTTATTAAAAAGTTAGTAAATGTAATTAAATAAAATACAATCAAAATCATATATTTTCTTATAAATATTAAAAAGGAAAATTACATCAAAATGAAAGTTTAGTTTAATTCCTATTTTGGAAAACTAACTTTTAACTCGATATACTTCGAGATTAAAGATTTTGTGAAGCGGATCCAAGAAATGCAAGAAATAAGCACCATGAGTTTCCTTGATTATAGTATTTCTAGAGACCAAGATGGAAAAGACAAAATGTGGGTATTTTTCCGTAGCATGTCACAAATTTAAAAGACCTTTAAATATATGAAAATTTTGTTGTAAGTCCTTCAATGATGATTTTAAAAATTAGTTCTCTAAAATAAAAATTAGATCAAAGTTAGTTCTATTTTAATGCAATTTTATTTTATTATAAACATAATTTAACAAATCAATACCGGATATTTATAAAATTTGTAGTAATTTAACAGGGTAAATAAGGAAATACCAAGTTTTGGTTTATTACTAGTTTGGAAAATCATTTCTTAAGTAGAAGAGATACGTAAAAATCTTCGAATTTTGAAAAAACCTAAAAAATAATTATAAACGAGAGAAAATAAATTTTAAAACTTTAAAAATAAATATCTAAAAAGTGAAATAATGTTTTATTAAATAAATAAAATATTCTAATAATATAATTAATATTTTAATTTAAAAAAATCTATTAAAATTAATTTATTTTTATATTAAAGATTTTAAAGTTTCATTATACTATATTATAAAGTATTTGATAAAAACTCTCAAAAACTATTTTTATGTGTGAAATATCGTTTATTGATATAGATTACTTAAAATTCAAGATTACAAATAAATCGTATGTAAGTACAACTTATTAAAGTTTCATGTTTGAATTCGTACAACTAACTGAAAATAAAAATAATCAAATACAAGATAAATATTTCATTTTAAATATAAAAAATTTAAAATATAATTAGAATAATCATTGACTAATAAAATATTTAAATATTATTCTTATAAAAAATTATATTTTTAAATAAA